TTCACCTTCCGGACCCAGGACCCCCAGCAGCTGCCCATTGTCAGTGTGGACAACCTCCCTCCTGCCTCATCAGGGAAGCAGTACCGCCTGGAAGTTGGACCTGCGTGCTTCCTCTGACCTCTGACCTCCTGGCTCCTCTAGGCCTGGAGGGGAGGGAAGAGGAGTAGGAGGAGGCAAAGGGAGGGTACTCAGGGGCAGGTGGGCCCAGGAGAGGCAGGTCCCCTGCCCGAGGATCCTAGGGCGGGCCCCAGACGTTGTCTGCCCAGGAGAAGGGGCTGGGGGGTAACAGGGAGTGGGGTGACCCCAGCACAGTTCCAAAGACCAACCAAAGAGCCAGCCTGAGCCAACTGGGCCTGTCTCCCAGCTCCGCGGCCACCCCTCCCTCCCCAGCTTCCTGCCCAAGCAAGAGCCCCACGTTCCAGCCAGCTTGAGGGAAGGGGGCAGCTGGTCCCCGCCAGGGAGCTTCGATGTGCAATATTAGAGAGGAGACATGAAAAAAGGAGAAAAGGAAAGAAAGAACTATATATATTTTATTTAAACAAACACAAAGGAGGTGCGTTACTATTCTTTTCACCTGGGAAAGAGGTGAGAGGGTGAGAGAGCAGCCGGGGGTGGGAAGCAAAGGAAGCCGAGGGAGAGGAGACCCTCCCCTCGGGGCTGGGGGCGCCCACGTTTGCTACCTCCCACTGTGGAATCGCTGGTGCTCGCAATCGTCTCTTAGTGTATGTGATTTTTTTTTTTTTTACGAAAAAAACCAACAAACCCTATTTAAGATTCTAAAGGTGCTACCATTTTTGCCACAGACTCTGAAGAAACGTTTTGATGTGGGCTCTCCTCCACATTTTTCTCTCTCCTCCAAAGGACAAAGTTTGGGGAACTTTTAAATTCTCCTAGCATCACCCATGTGCTCATCCGTAATCTGCTAAGGAGGGGGGAAGAAGAAAGGGGAAGAAAAAAAAAAAGCAAAAGCAAAAAAAAACAACACACACACACACACACACACAGGGAAGCCACCAAAATGCAGAGACAAAGAAATATGTCACAGATGAATTTTAACTTACAGACTTTGAAACGTTTGTCCTCTAAAGCAGGGAGGCCTGAGCATGAAGGATTCTGACCTAACCCTTCATGGTCCCAGAGGGGAGTTGGGCCAAGGATGCACTCGGAGGATGCGATATAGACGGGAGGGTCCTGGGAGAAGGCCTTGACCTTGAAGAAACGGTTACAGGAGCAACGGTGGGTAGGCTGGCCTTGGAGGTGGAAGAGAAACATGGAACCATCTCCTGAAGCCACATACCACCCACTAAGATCCTCCCTCCCAGGAGCCTGTCCTTTCAAGACACAGCCATCACTCTTGCTTTTTTAGTCATTAAATCCCATAGGAACACAGCGTCAGTAGCTCCCCGTGTACACGTGGGCCAAGGAGAAGGCATACCTACGGGAACCTTGGGGTGCGGCATGATAGGGCTATTCAGTGCCATCTGAATTGCCTACATCCGCGAACCAGCCAGCGCCCGGGGCGGATCCTGAGGTTATTTTAACTGAGGAATTATTTTTATAGAAGGGGAAATTTTATGTGAAAGTCTATTTGTCTTTCAAGTTGTGTCTCTTGGGGAATTGGATTGGATTTGCATTATTTAATACCTCACTCTGGCCCACCCTCCCCACTGGTCCCATCCCAGCCTGCATCCCGGCCCCCAGCCCCCGCCCAGAGGCCTCCCGTGGAAGGGCATTCCGCAGCCGCCCGGGCCTCGCTCAGCTCCGTTCCCCACGCTGCCAGTCTCCACCTGGCCCCCGTCTCGTCCTTGGGTTTTTCTGCTGTCCCCCTTTATGTCTCTGTCCACATGTCAGTGTTAAAACCCCCGTGGGTCCCGTCTCTCCTTTTCCCTTCTGGATTTTAAATAAATATTTAAAACTGAGGCAATGGAATGACTAATCTGTGGCCGTGTACTTCTTTGAAAAGCCGGGGGAAGGTGTGTGGCAGGGCTGGAGGGTGGGGGGAAGGGCCTCAGGGGGCACCTGCTTCTGCCGCTTCCCCCAGTGGAGGGGGGCCAGGGCGAGAGCTATGGCATCTTAGCAGGAGGGCTGGCGCCCGGAGTGAGAGAGCTCGGTTTCTCGGGGTGAGCGTAACACTCCCCCAAACCTGGTAGCTTTGCATTATTTAATACCTCACTCTGGCCCACCCTCCCCACTGGTCCTGTCCCAGCCTGCATCCCCGGTCCCCGGACCCGCCCAGAGGCCTCCCGTGGAAGGGCATTCCGCAGCCGCCGGGCCTCGCTCAGCTCCATTCCCCACGCTGCCAGTCTCCACCTGGCCCCCGTCTCGTCCTTGGGTTTTTCTGCTGTCCCCCTTTATGTCTCTGTCCACATGTCAGTGTTAAAACCCCCGTGGGTCCCGTCTCTCCTTTTCCCTTCTGGATTTTAAATAAATATTTAAAACTGAGGCAATGGAATGACTAATCTGTGGCCGTGTACTTCTTTGAAAAGCCGGGGGAAGGTGTGTGGCAGGGCTGGAGGGTGGGGGGAAGGGCCTCAGGGGGCACCTGCTTCTGCCGCTTCCCCCAGTGGAGGGGGGCCAGGGCGAGAGCTATGGCATCTTAGCAGGAGGGCTGGCGCCCGGAGTGAGAGAGCTCGGTTTCTCGGGGTGAGCGTAACACTCCCCCAAACCTGGTAGCTTCACATGGCAGGAATACATTCTCCCGGGGCTGGAGGCTGGAAGTTTGAAATGAAAGGACTTGCAGGGCCGCCACCCCTCTGCCGCCTCTCTGGGATGCTGCCTACCCGGTCCAGCTTCTGGTGGCCCCAGGCATGTCAGCGCCTCCATCCCCATCCCCATAGCCACCAGACAGCCTCTCTCTATTCACACCTTGGTAGAAGGACAGCAGTCCTCTGGGATGAGGGCCCACCTGGTCTTACCTGGATTCCTTCGGCAGAGACCCGATTCCCCGGGGAGGCCACATTCACGGGTAACGTGGTTAGGATTCCGACACATCTTTTTGGGAGACACAATTCACCCTGCAACATACAGGGAGGAGGGGTGCTGCGTTTAACACGAGCAATCCCTTCTTTTATTTTTTAATCTAGTACAATCACGCAGAACATAAAACTCACCATTAATGATACTCCGGACACTCACAATGCTGTGCAGTCACCACACTGGGACACACCTATCCCTGTTGGGCCCCATGTGCCCTGACCAGTTCAGAGTTTTCTTCCTTCGCTTGTTTCTCCTTCTCCGGGACCTGGGAGGGAACAGAACTTTTCTGTCCTTATTTAGGAGAAAGAACAAATTACAAGCAGTTGAGTTCTATGTGGGATTTTATGTTTTAAAAACTAGCGATAGCACTAGCTGGTTTGGCTCAGTGGATAGAGCATCGGCCTGCAGAATAAAAAATCCCGGGTTCAATTCTGGTCAAGGGCACATGTCAGGGTTGTGGGCTCAATCCCCAGTAGGGGGTGTGCAGGAGGCAGCCCATCAACGATTCTCTCATCATTGATGTTTCCATCTCTCCCTCTCCCTTCCTCTCTGAAATCAATAAAAACATATTTAAAAAAAACAACAACCTAGCTGTAAGTTTCCAGGTCATCGGTTTACTTGCAGGGGGGTCTTCTTACCCTCCTCACCCGCGTCCTTCCCCCAGGCAGTGAGCACTGGGAGCTGCTCCATGGCTCCTCCATGGCTCCGAGAGTCCCATTCCCGAAGCCCAGGATTCCTGGTCCGGAAGGGCGGAAGGGCGTGGAGACTCCCACATGCAGGTGCACCCTCCCATTGTGCAGAGAGGGCAACAGGCCCCAGGGCAAGGCCTGGAGTCGCCTGGTGAAGTCAGGTCAAAGGTGCAATTCAAGCCCACGAGGGCTGGTGGCGCTGTTGAGCGCCTTAGCCCAGTGGTTCTTGCATTGGCCACACCAGCAGCACCTGGGTGCCTGTTGCCTCTTTTCAGCCGCTTCCCAACCCTCCTGAGTCACAAACCCTGAGGGTAGGGGCAGCGATCTGAAAGCTTCCCTTGGAGATTCATGTCCCAAACATCACGGCCCTGCCGTTTCCTGAATCTGGAAAATGCTTTTCCAACATCGGGGGGAAAAAATACTTGAAAATGAGATAACAATATTTTCATTTCTTTGACAATATCACAGATGAAGCAGAGACAGAATGGCCATTTCCTGAGACCTGTCCACTCTCACGGAGTTTGCCCGGCTCTCCGGTCACACTTCCCATTTTGCAGAGGGAACTTCAATCACTTGAATGTCTGTTTTTCCCACGGCCACCCCCACCCCCGGAAGCTCTGTGAGGGCAGGCACGCACCTGGCGCTCTGCTGTAGCCACAGGTGATGGCACTCACACTTGTTCAGTGCTCGCTCTGCATTTCCTCTCGCCCCTTCCTCAGCAGCACCGTCCCCGTGTTGAGCTGCGTGTGGGCACGAGAGTAACAGCGATGGGTCTGGCCGTGAGTCTGGGGGGCTCTGAGTCTGGTGGAGGCAGAGGGAGGGGTTGGAACTTGTGTGGAGCTGGGGGGGGGGCGAAAAGGGGGCACAGCTGATGCAATCTCAGCAGGGGAGGTAGTGAGGAGGTGACACTATGCATCAGGGTCTTCAGAGAAACAGAACCAATAGGATGCATGTGTTTACAGAAATGTATTAGAAGGAGCTGGCTCCTATGATTATGGTGGTTGGCAAGTCCCAAGATCTGCTCAGTGAGTTGGAAGCTGGGGACCCAGGAGAGCCGATGGGATCGTTCTAGTCTGAAGGCTGGCAGGTTGGAGACCCAGCAAAAAACTGATGTTTCCGTTCATGTCCGAAGGCAAGAAAAGGCTGATGCCCATCTCAAGCAGTTTCGTTAAATATCTGGGTACCCCATGGCTCACTTAAGTTGACACATAAAGTTATCACCCAAGTTGAGTTGAGAGGAAATGAATAGAGGTTAGCCCAGTGGTTCTCAACCTTCTGGCCTTTAAATACAGTTCCTCGTGTTGTGGTGACCCCCAACCATAAAATTATTTTCATTGGTACCTCATAACTGTAATGTTGCTACTGTTATGAATCGTCATGTAAATATCTGATATGCAGGATGGTCTCAGACAACCCCTGTGAAAGGGTCGTTCGACCGCCAAAGGGGTCGTGACCCACAGGTTGAGAACCGCTGGGTTAGCCAGATGGGGAAGGTCATTGGGGGGAGAGGGAACAGCACCTGATAGTAAAGGTGTCATGCATATGTGGGGAACAGTGAGTGGTCCAAATGGTGCTGAGGGTGTAGGAGGGCCTGGGGTGCTGGGCTGGGAATAGGAAAGCCACAGGCTCGCCCAGGAGAGCAGGGTTTGGGTTGGCCAAGTTGGGTTTGGGCTGCTATGGGTGCTGGAGCAGGGCTGTCCAGGAGGCAGCTGGCTGAGCTGGGAGGACAAGAAAGAGGTCTGAGCCCCTGCCTGTCCATCAGAGCTCCAGAACCATCGGATCAGCAGCAGCTGTGTGGCTTTGAAGACGTGAGAGGGGAAGAGAGTCAGGAAGAAGGGCCAGAGGGAGAAGGGGGCGGGGGCTATGTTAAAAGGGCAGCATGCCAGTCTCAGCTGGTCCAGATTCCAGGAGGGCCTCCCGTGACCTGGCCAGTGAACGCCAGCCCATTCCCAGCAGGGGCAGGTATGCCTGGACATGGTTGGGGAAAGAAGGCAGATCTCCCGGGTGGGCAGCACCTGCTGTTTCCAATCTCTAATTGCACAACCGAGTGTCAGGAAACAGCCAGCGTGGATTTCCCAGGCCCGGTCAACTCCAAGGGAAAGCCCAGGCCAGCACCCGTGTTTGCTCTGTCCACACGGGCCCTAGCCATGGGCAGTCACACCCCATAGTGACCAGCAGTTTGGTGCTGGGAAAGTCAGGGAAGGGCAGGCCACAAGGGGAGAGGTTGGCCGGTGATTCCCAGCTTCCTGATCACTCCCAATATCTAGGCCTCAGTTTCTCCCTCTCACATCCCTTTCACAATCCAGGACCGCTGGCTCCTAACTGCTCACCTGCCTGCCTGCCTGCCTGATTGCCCCCCTAACCACTCACTCCCCTGCCGGCCTGATTGATGCCTAACTGCCCTCCCCTGCCGGCCTGATGGCCCACAACTGCCTCTGCAAAATGGGGATGATATGCCCTTCGCTGCTTGCCAATCACAGACGGGACTGTTGCTTCATAATAGTAGGGTGAACCATATGAAATGGAATGATATTCAACAGCTTTCTGACCTATAAAATCCTCAGCGTCACATGGAGCAACCCAATGACAGCACCGTTCAAAATAACAGCAGCCGCGTTTCTCGCCCACTGTGAACCCAAAGCCATGCGGATGGGCCGTTTGCAACTCATGCGTGACCCTCTGAGACACATGTTGTTACCTTGGCTCTTTGGATGAAGGAGCTGAAGTCCAAAGCGGTTACATAAGGTGCCCCAAACCACGAAACAGGTCTTGAACTTAAGCAAATCTTTTTGGGTATTTCCTCCGCTGAACACAAAGTTCCTCATTAGAACAGCTTGCTCTGCCAATGTGTTCTTCCTGGCTGTTCTGGCGGAAGACCACAAATTAATCGTCGGACTCAGAGCTCAGCCATGGCCTTGATGAAAAAGTGTGGCTGACCCGGCTTTCTCAGCAAATGCATTCTTTCACACAGGTGCATGTCCCTGTTTATCTAAACCTCACCTCTTCACCGGACCTCACTGTTTTCTCATCTATCTGATCGGGGAAATATCCTCTTTTCTTACTCCTACTATGGACATATTTTTGCATTTTGATGTCTTGAGAAGTGGGATGTAACCTGCAACCCCTGAAGTAGTTATGGAATGCAAGAATCTGTCTGTCTTTCCTCCCCACCCCAACCTGTCATTAAACTGATGGTGACTGGTGTTAGAAATAGGCGACCCCTTAGAAGA